TACAAATTTACAACCACAAATAAGGAATCAGTGGATTTGAGAAATCAAGTACCAAGTATGTTATCCTGAAAATTGATAAAGGGAAAACCGTGAAAGAGCCAGATATATTTGACGCCACGGATGCGTTGAATAAACGATCGAGCACTTCAAAATTCGTCAAGATAGAGATGCAGTGTGACGAAAAAGAAAAAGGTCAAATTAAAAAGTTGGCATTAAAGGGGAAAATTGAAGATGCACCGTCGACTTGAAAGAAATCTCCAGATTATTTGAGGTGCTTCATTCCATTTTGGCTTCCTTTATCTCTGGAATTTTCCACAGCTACCAAGAGAAGGTCCTAGATGGCTGCTATATTCACTACCATTTACAAAAAATTCTAGAAGACTTACATTACCAGCTGAATTTAAAGATCACCGCCATAAGGGAAGAATCTAGAATTAAGTCCTAATTCCACCAACATAAGTGTGTGTGTGTGTGTGTGCATGTATTTTGTGAGTATGAGAGCAGAAAAGAAAAAGTGAGAGAGAAATGCCATAGCAGTGTGTTAGAGATGGTGAGTGGAGAATATAGGTGTTGCTTCGTGAGTGAATTTTTTTTTTGGTAGTTCAAGGTGCTTGCTTGAGTAGTTATTATGTTATCCAATTAAACTGTGTAAATTATTTTCCTTGATAATAAAATAATTTTATTTGGGGTTTAAACTCAACACTAAATTATAATTTACTATTAGAATTAGAAACAACTTGGAAATCGCTTAAATCTTCATTGCTAGTAGGATCTCTAAGGCAATTATAAACAGATTTGATCCCCTATCATCCTCATCACTATCAATTTTTTCTTCCTTCACTTGCAATGGAGCCTTCTCCTTTCCATTGCCTTCCGCATACAGGCAGAAAAAAAATAGAAAAAACCTGTAAATTGTTCTATATTGTGAAAAAAAATTGTCATAAATGGGATGGCCAGTATTAAAAAGGTTCATTAACAAATGGCAGTAAAAGCGCAAGCTTTGATGAGTCTCATAATAGCCTCACATGTTGTGGGATATGTGGCATAAGACTCAAGGTACAGATTTGCAGTAGCCCATCAGTTTATGCATCAGAAAATGATATGCTCAAAAAACCACATACATCCACTTAAAATAGGAAAGGGGCAAACCTGCTGTCCGGGATTGAGAATTTTTTATCTCCTGGACAATCCAAAAAAAAAAAAAACACTTCATTAG